TCTTTTTGGAAACTGAAAGTTCCTACTATGTAGTGTCCTGGGTACATACTCTTGAGGGGGCTTCTGGCTGAACTCTGCATGTTCTCTGTTCTTTGTCCTTCTGGGGATGCTAGAAACCTTCTCTTGATGTGAGTAGTGTCTATATGTGTGTGTGTGTGTGTGTGTGTGTGTGTAAAACTGTGAAGCTGTATGTAAGAATTGTGTGCTTTACTGTTATATCTCAATTTTTAAAAAAATGAATGGGCAGTTATCCCTGGCCAAACCCTGTACTGTGGACCCTCAAGTTTCGGACCACCCTGGCATACAAACAACTTGGGTTAATTTAGTGGCAGATTCATCTGCCTCTTGTTATTTATAGTGTGTACCCAGGTAAACATACAGATCTCAGCTGTACTGACTTACAACCAACTTCAGTTACAACCAGCCCTAGGGAACCGATTGAGTTCCTAAGTCAAGGATGAACTGTATGTCTGCAGTGCCAGGAATTATGGCAGCCACTTTTGATCATGAGGTAAACTACTTAAATTAAACAATCTAATTTGCTGAAAATGGCAGAACAGAAAGAGACTTATGACATTAAGGGCATTAAATTAGCTAAACAGGTGGACTTACTACTGAACACATTTTTTTACACATTTATCAATATTCAGCCACCCTAGTGTGGAATCATATAAACGCTTCTTTGAAAGTTGGGCACAGTGCCACACACCTGTAACCTCAGCACTGTGGGAGGCTGAGGCAGAAGGATCGCTGGAAATTCAAGGCCACCCTGGGCTACATAGTGAGTTCAAGGCCAGACTAAACTACATAGCAAAACTAAAACAAAAGACTCAAAAGATAAAAACAAAAAACAAAGTATAATTTACATCTTTATTAACTTTTTTTTTTTGGTACCGGGGGTCAAACTCAGGTCCTTCCGCTTGTGAGGCAGGTGGCGGAACCACTGAGCTAAATCCCCAGCCCAGTATAATTTACATCTTTAAACAAGAAGTTTCCTACAAATCAGTAAAAAGTTGAAAATTAAATAAATACAGCTAGGCTGCTGCTGCTGCTTCCTGCCTTCTGCCTGCCACACCATGGACTGTTTCTCCTCTGTGATGCCCCTCTACCATGAAACCCTGCCTTGGAGCCAGCCAATTATGGACTGAAACCTCTACAGACTGTGAGACAGGAAGGCTAGAAAGGGCTGGAGTAGCGTCACTCCCTTCTCTCATGTAGGCTAAGGCTCTGCTGCGGACGTCCCCTTCTATTATGGAGAAGAATCAAGGTACATTCAAGAACATCCTTCCCCACTTTCTGCCAGGAACAGGCAGGTTTTCTCATGGCCCTTCACTGTGAGAGCTGGACGAGGATCCTGCACAAATAACCCATGAAACTGGGGTCTCCCTAAAGCTGTGACTCTTGGAACTTTTTCATTCTGATGCTAGCACACACACATCCTCTAGAAGTTCAACGAAGCATTTGTTTAAGTGTTCTGGCCAGTTTATGGTCCCGTGTGTTTTGCTCCAGCAACATGGCAGAGCCAAGAGGAGGAGGAAAGGGAGAACATTTAAAGGTTGGAGAACTTGCCAGAGAGAAGCAGAAGAGGGGAGGAGGTTGCTTGCTGTTCTCAAAGGCCCCCGGGCCAGCATTACAACACCATACACTTTCGACAACTGCTGTGTCCAGATATGCTCTGTGGGCTGTGTAACACAGCAGCGGACAAGGTGCGGCGGCTCCAGTCTCTGGCATCCCCGGAAGGTGCTGCGATCCCCTTAGCTTCCACGGGTTCAGCAGCGGAGTCCTCCTCTTTAGATGTCTCCAGGCGCCTGCACACCTGCTAAAGACGGGTCTGAGGTCTGGCTCTCGGAGATCTTCAGCACTTCACAAAAGCAAAGCTGGCGCTGGTGTGACGGGCTGAGCGGATGGCAGCGCATCCTCTGCCAACAGCGCGGCCTGCTGGGAACACCGAAATAAAAAGCGTCTTCCTCCGAGAGTGGGAATGATCTCTGTGTCCTGCACAGGAGGTGCAGTTTTGGGGAATCCCAAATATGTCTTTAGGAAAGGGAAGGCTCTACTTTGGTACTCAATGTGGTTGATTTTGCCTTATTTTGCTGCTAAAACCTGACCAGTTCCTTGTAGGGAGCTCGACAGTGATCTTCTCAGCCTTATCTTGGGGTTATCCCCTTCACCATTCTCAGATGTCTTTCATTTAAAACATTTTATATTTTCATAAAAGTTGTTTTTTACTCTAAAGGCTCTCAAGCCTTTTCAAAGTTAGAAAAATTTGTAAAATCTAGAACTTAGCTGAGACGTCATTCAAAACATGTTATTTTTTTCAATTTTTTTATTAGTACGTTTGCTGTACATAATGTAAAGTCCTTGTGGGGACTTAGTATAGATGTACATAACACATCTTAATTATTTTTTTAATCCTTTCCCCTTTTATTCCCCTCCCTCCATCTCTTGGTCACCTTACCATTTGCAAAAAGATCTTATTATTTCCTACTATCTTTTATTTTGCTCCATATTTATGTTTTGGGCTTCCCATATCAGAGAAACAGGATACTAAAGCTTGTATATCTGATTTATTTCACTTAAAATTATATTCTCAAGGTGTATCCATTTTCCTACATATAACTAAAGTTTATCCTTCTTTATGGCAGAGTAGTACTCCACATTTTCTTTATCCATTTACCTGTTGATGGACATACAGGCCACTTCCAAGATTTAGCTAATGTGAATTGTGCTGCTATAAACATGGGTATGCATGTATCATTGTAATATGATCATATGTCCTTAATTCTTTGGGGAAAATATCTAGAAGGGGAATAGATAGGTCAAAAGGAGTTTCTCGTTTAGGTTTTTTGAGGAATCTCCATAGTGGTTGCACTAGTTTACATTCTCACCAACAGTGTAAAAGGTTCCTTTTGCCCCACAGCCTTGCCAGCATTTACAATTTGATTTCTTCATGACAGCCATTCTTTCTGGAATAAGGTGGAATCTTGGTGTTTTAATTTGCATTTCTCTAATGGCTGGAGATGCTGAACATTGGTTTTTTTTTGGTTTTGGTTTTTTTTAAGAGTAGGAAAAATGTATTGGGAGAAAGAAAGCTTCTGCCTAAGAGAGACAGAAGGGGGACCAGAAAGTGGGTTGCCCACTCACCCTACTTTTCAAAGATGTTTTATACAGCAAAGCCATGTGGTGAGGCGGGTACAAAGTGAGACAAAACTGTAAGACCCAATGGAAATTTACAAGGTGGGCATGAGGTGGGACAAAACCATGACCAACCAGTAAGATCACAAGTACAGTCACCCAGGTAATACTGATTAAGTGGGGTCAAATGGGGGAGGAAGTCACACAGCAAGCATATAAGGATTTTCAATAAGGGTGGGGGTCAGGGATACTTCCTGGAAAGGCTGGGTTAAGACCTTGGGCCCCCCACCCAGGTGATTGATAACTATTTGGAATATCAATTATTGCTATTCATCTTACATGGGTGTGGTAGTTTCTCTCCTTTACAATTTTGGCCTTTAGTGAATGTATTTCCAGTGTCCTCCATGTTGGCTCCTCCTGGGCTGCCCCTGTCTAATTGCCTACAAGATATCTAATTAACTTACCTCTCTGCAATATTGTCCTCTCTGAAGAAGTACCCTTAACTGCTGTGAGGGGGCAAAGGACAAAGACTGTTCTGGCTACTTCCAGCTGAAGAGGGTCGCAGTTGTGACCCACAGTTAGAGTTACTCTACAGAGGGTCTATCTAAAGGCCCTCCATAGGTGCCAGGCATTGTCATCTTGGTAGCCGTATAGCTTTGAGTCTGGAGGAGACAAAGCCAAAGAAACAGTTAAAACATGGGCCAAATTATAAGGTCAGCAGGATTGTTATGAATATAGCCAATAAGGGTTTCCACTGGGAGGAACTAGTAATAGCCTCCCACAAAGAGGTTAAGGAGAGGGTCCAGGGGACTTCAGAATCCCAACACATAAGTTGTATTGTATAGTTTTGCAGGGTTTTTTTGGTACCAAGGATTGAACTTAGGATCCCGTGCTTGCAAGGCAGGAGGCGGAACCACTGAGCCAAACCCCCAGCTTGAACATTTTTTTCATTTATTTATTGGCCATTTGTACTTCTTCTGAGTAGTGTCTATTTATTTCAGTTGCATATATATATATATATATATATATATGTTATATATAAGTTGCCATATATATGGAGAGAGAGGGAGAGAGCACATAAAATAGGATAAATAGGAAGTAGGGAGAAGTCCAAGTAGTTCCCCAATTATCTATTCAATTGTTTCAAAAATATTTTAAGATACATGCCAAATTGTTTCACTTATACTACTTATTTCTTTTTTTTTCCACTGAAAAATTTGTCCTTTTGTTTCTTCTTTGTAAGAGGGAGGGTTTTTTTTTTTTTAAATTTGTACTGAGTAACATTTTGGCCATTCTTTTAAGATTTTGATCCATAGTATATTAACCATTGTTATTCTCTATTTTTCTTTTTCTTTTTTTTTGGTACCGGGGATCGAACTCAGGTCCTTGTGCTTGTGAGGCAGGCAGCAGAATCACTGAGCAAAATCCCCGGCCCCAATACAGAATTTCTTTCTTTTTTTTTTTTTGGTACCAGGGATTGAACTCAGGACCTTGTGCTTGCGAGGCAGGGGCTGGAACCACTGAGCTAAATCCCTGGCAAACGTTATTCTACATTTAAATTCCTTGAAACTCAGGAACTCAGTAAGGATGGGCTATAACTCCCTTAGTAGGAGGGACTGCATTCCATGTTGCCTGAGGAAGGTTTTTTTTTTTGGTATCAGAGATCAAACTCAGGTCCTTGTGCTTGCAAGGCAGGCACTGGCACCACTAAGCTAAATCCCTGGTCTTCTATTTTGTTATAAAGGTTTTTTTCATTAAAAAAAAAATTACAGCTAAACATACAGATTAAATAATTACTAAAAAAAGCTTTATTACAAAAGATTAAATCTTATTGACCACTGAAAAAGAAATGCAATTCCAACTCACAGAGTTTAAAGTAATTCTTTATTGTTAAACATTTATACTAGAATTAGAAATGTCAGTAGAAAAATAAAATTTAAATACTTTTCTATTGTACAAAGATTTGATCATTTTGACTGTAGCAGTTAGTGAAATAACCTAATACAAAAAAGCTGATTTTGGTCACAACCAGCCTTACACAGTGCACAAAAAAGAAACGCAAGTTCACAGCAAGACTTTCTGTGTGTGGATGGCTTCACACTCCAGGCCTCGGCCCCCAGGTGAGGTGGCAGGTGTGCAGGGAAAAGAAAATGCAATGCAAACCAGAGCAGTCAGGACACCGGGGAGGAAATTTTAAAAACTTAACAGATGTAAGGGAGGATTTAATTACTTGCACAAACTATTTCTCACTGGTTTAAATGTTTCAGAGGTTTCTTGCTACAAAAAAACAATAGCACAGAGAGACATCTTTCTCATGTACTATTCATTATGCTTTTGTATCTGAAATTAAGTTTTCACAAAATGCTTTTACTCCAAAATCCTATGGGAGAATCAAGAAATCAGCTTTTATGGTTGGCGGCTGCCTCTCACCCTGCATGAAGAAGAAAGAGAAAGGAGGAGGAAGGTGAAAGGAAAAGGAAAAGAAAACAGGCAAGTGAAGCATAGGTAACAGTAGTAGTTGCATGTGTCTCTACAAAAGTTGTTGGAAAAAATCTCAAACTATATAAGATAAAATGTTCAACACAAATGCCATTATTCTCCCATCCAAGCAACCACCTACAAATAAATCAGTATTTGAGACAAGAAAGAAAACAAGCAAGCAAAAGGTAGAGGGGGAGAGAGAGGGACAGAAGAGACAGAAAACCAAAGTGGAATACATTCTCTAGTTATCATTCTAACTTTCTCCCTGAAAACATTTCCAGCTATACAGCTCAATCCACAGTCTATACACATTTATTCACAAGAGAAGGCTTCACAGACTGTGATGAATGAAACATTCAATAACTTGAAGATACATTTTATGTTTGAAGTTTTAAAGAGCAGATAATCAAAACATATCAAACACCAAACAGATGGAAACAAAATGCATACTTATCTCTTACCTTTCAAAATTCATAAATTTCTGTCCCTTGGCTCTAAATAAAAATAACCTAACATTTTCATCATGGATCAATATATTCAAAAAATCAATATTCAGGGGAAAGGGCCCACCAACTACTGGCCCCATGATTGGTTTGTGAGATTATATCCAAAATGTTTTAGGCGAGGAGAACTCTGATAAGAGGCAGCCTTCAACAGAAATGATCAAACTCATTTCCCATAATAAAGAATATCCTAAATTTCTTAAACTGAAGGGATATACTTTCTAAAATCACTGGTCCTTCAACTGAAAACCAGAATCTTTAATTTTTTTGTTGAAAGAAGACTGAGCCTCTTGATGGGGAATTTGAAAGGACATTTAGCTGCACTCCTAATTTTCTACCTAGTCTGATGTCAGTGTAATTATAAGTGGTCCAACTGTCAGAAGGAAAATATCCAGTTAATTTTGTTAATCTCTGTCATTTTTCTGTATAATTTATTTCTCTCTCTCTATATATATTTTTTGTACCAGGGATCGAACTCAGGACCTTGCACTTGCGAGGCAGGCAGTGGAACCACTGAGCTACCTCCCCGGCCCCTTCCTCTATAATTTTCTTTGTAGGGCCCGGGGAGGTAGCTCAGCAGTGCAGCACCTGCCTGATAAGCTCAAGGCCCTGAATTTGATTCCCGGTACCAAAATAAAAAAAAGGTTAATTTTCTTTGTAACTTTCCCAGGCAAACTGGTTCTCTTGGCTACTTTTTTTTTTTGGTACCGGGGATTGAACTCGGGACCTTGCACTTGTGAGGCAGGTGGTGGAACCACTGAGCTAAATCCCCAGCCCCTTGCCTACTTTTAACCAGAGTGCATATTGTGGAAATCGAATAAATTCAGGTACATATGACTTTATAGGTTGTTAGCCTAAATCTCATAATGAAAACCCTTCTTTAAAAATGTTCATCACCAGAAGCTGATTACTAGAGTTAATTAACAGACAGTAGCAACACCATTGATTGGATTCTACATGAAACTGTTTAGGTGGCAAGGATCAAGTTACTTCATTTTTGCAATCCTTTCCCCTGTGAAGGTCACAGTTTTCAGGCATTCCAATGAAAAGGAAAGTTAGGCAATAGGATAAAAATTAAAATAGATTGGGCCAGGGATTTAGCTCAGTGGTTCCAGTGCCTGCCTTGAAAGCGCAAGGTCCCGAGTTCGATCCCCAGTACCAAAAAAAAAAAATTAGATAAAAACTGAGTTAAAAAAAAATTGACAGTTAATTCTCTTTAACAATATAAATTCTCTTGAATAAAAATGTAAAGGGCAGAGCAGGGGCCTAACTGAAAATGAAGTTTTAGGCACTTTCTGGGAGTTGATACTCAAATACTGCAAAAGTGGGCTGAATTGCTACCACCAGGTAAACGCACTGAGAATCAACAGCCACTAACTCCAGTTTCAGCTATGCTTCTACAATTTCTCAGGAGCCATCTAAAAAAATAGTTATTAAGAAAAACTATCACAGAATGTTTGAAGTATCTTATTTGTGTTCAATACCCAAAGAGTATCCTAATGAATATAGTTTAAAGTTTCCAAATCAAACTACTGAATAAGGCACGTATGTTTCTAACTAAGCCAAATAAATAGAATTAAAAGTGATCGTAAAAGGTGGCATGGAAATTCTTTATTTTTGTGGTGCTGAGGATTGAACCTAGGGCCTCATGCATGCTAAGCAAATGTTCTACCCCTGAGCTACACCCCCAGCCTTGCATGGGAATTCTTTAAAAATAAATTTAAAAGTTCAGCCATGCGTGACGGTGTATGGTTCTTGGGAGGCTGAGACAGAAGGATCACTTGAGCCCAAGAGTTGGGCCCACCCTGGCAACATAACAAGACCTCGTCCCTTAAAAAAAAGAAAAAAGAAAAAAAAAAAAAAAAAAGACCCAGCTAGCTCATTTTGATCAAATGTACCAAGCAACAAATTCATGTCTCTTAAATTCTACTGAATAATCAAAGGTCAAGATGGTCATCCATAAGATGTCGCATTCTCAGTAGTTACCTACTTTTTCTTTACCAGTGGCCCTAAGTCAGTATTTGAATTGTACTTCCCTTCTTTCTCCTGCTGTATTTCACCAAATCTGTGCTCAAAGCTATACTCAACCAAAACCTACTTTCCTAATTGGTTTTACTGTCATGAGAATGGAGCAAAAGAAAAGTTTGCCAATTTTTTTTTTTTTTGTACCGGGGATCGAACTTGGGACCTTGCGCCTGCGAGGCAGGTGGTGGAACCACTGAGCTAAATCCCCAGCCCAAGTTTGCCAAATTTTAATCAAGATTAGATTAACTAAAATTTCAGTACAGTATACTTTGCTCACTTGAAATCAATATTTTCCCACAGTTTCTGAAATATAAGACATTACATTTTCTCACAAAATATGGCATTCCAGTGCAACAGTGCCAGCAGAGGCACTGGCTTGGCTTAAAGGTGTGTGTGGATTTTGCGAAAGAGAAAGCCACAGAAACTTGTTTTGGTTGAGAATCATAGGAGTCTGCAAAGATCTTGAACTACTGGAGCTTCAAACTGAAGAAAGGGCTGAGATCCTCACATTCCTCTTCAACTAGCTTCCACTTGAAGAACTGAGAAAACACTACATTCAATAATATCTTCCTTTTGAGGATTCTGTAAAACTTGGGTTCCGTATCACAGCACAGGAGTGTATGCTATAAAGTGGCTAAAATCCGTAAGAAGGAGACCACCACTACACAGAACGTCTGTCCTGTGCCCAAGGTGAGGGCTTCGAATGGTATCATCTGTTTCCCTGCTGCTCGGTAAACTCCAGCAATCGCTGCACCTGGTTCAAAATTCAAGGGCGTTAAGAAGAAAAAAGTCAAGGTTAACAAATCATGAAAATGAAACACCTAAAATTCTACTACACATAGACTATTTGAGCTTTTTCACATTAAAATTTAAATATTACAGAAATGTTTTGTTTCCCTATTCTTTCTACTGACTGTTTTGTTTTGGTTTGGTTTTTTTTCCCTGGTACCTGGGATCGAACTCAGGACCTTGAGCTTGCCAGGCAGGTGTAGCACTGCTGAGCTACATCCCTGGCCCTGCTAACTGGTTTTAAAGTTTTCTTTATATGGTTTGCAAATCACTGAAATGAGCTTTTTGATGTAGACTCTCTAAAACTGAGTCTCCTAATTTATTGAATAAAATAATCCAAAGGTAATAAAGATGACAAAGATAACTAACTCCCACATAACCTGCCCATGAACTCAAAAACATCTCTATATTCCCATGCCAATTAGCTCTGTGCCAATTAGGCATTTAAGAGGTGCCAAATACATTTCTGGCAATAAACGACAATCTTCTGAGACTGAGCAAGAAATGTTCCTCACCACAGGGAATCCCTGCTCCACCTGCTAGTGTACTAGAAAGGGAGAGAAGGTGGGCATGGTGGTGCACACCTGTAATCTCAGCACTCAGGAGGCTTGAGCCAGGAGGGTCACTGTTGAGTTTGAGACCAACCTGAATTACAGAGCAAGACCCTGTCTCAAAAAAACAAAAGAAAGAGAGGAGGACTCTTAAATCATGAAGCTGTTAATCCGAAGGGCACAGAGCGGAGATACTTAGGGTGCCTTTTCTGTTTTCTATGTCGTTAATTATGCTAGTCACTGTAACTTCCTAGAAATTGAGACCTGTATCTACCCAAATATCCACATGAGCTGCTATAGGTATTCAGCACTGTACCAAGAAGGTTCCCTTCTCTTTAGTTTGAAAAAGATTCAACTTTCCAGATGACCGCCCCCCCCCCCAGTGCTCCAAACAAAATTCTCCTTGGTCACTGTGCTCTTTCATTCAGGTATTTATTTTCAGAGCTCTTCTATGTTGTTGTTGTTGTTTAATTTTTTTTTGAGACAAGGTCTTGCTATGTAGGTACTACCATACCTGGCTCACTTTTATGTTTGGTAAAGTGTGATCCCTATTCTAAAGGTATTCAGAATCTAGCTGGGGTCACAAGATAGAAACAATTTCAATAATGCAAGATAATATATAGTGCCTCAACCCAACGTCCACACAGGATGTAGCTCAGCATTAGAGCATGTGCTTAGCACACACAAGGCTATGTGTTCCTTCTATCCCCAAAATCACAAATAACATCTATACATTTTATAAAGGTGGTATGAAGGTACATTAACATTTAACAGTGTTAAATGTTAACAATGTTAACGTATTTTAACAATAAGAAAGAACAGCCGGGCATGGTAACATACATTTGTATTCCCAGCATTCTGGGAGGCTGAGGCCAGAGGACTGCAAGTTTCAGCCTACCTGTGGTAACTTGGGAAGGGAAGTAAAGGGAAAAGGAAAGGAAAGGAGAAGAAAAGAGGGAGGAAGGGAAGGGAAAGGAAAGAGGGAGGAAGGGAAGGAGAAAGGGAAGGGAAGAAACAATGAATAACCTAAGGTCAATCACCTACTTCCAGAGGCCTTTGATGTTTCTAACATCTGAAAATACATGTTTCATTGAGCCTATCTATAATTTAGTTCCTGTAAAAGAGTAGGTTGGGTAGAAAGAAGCTTAAGGAATTTGAACTACACCCTAATGTGGGATTTGGATGATGGGGAGAAGAAAGGAAAAAGCCTACCAGAAAACAGCAAATGGCAAGGGAATGAACTCCACACTAGAGCCTTAAAGATGGAAATAAGCGTAGATTCATGTACCATTCCCATGTGTCAAGCACTCCATTAAGTACCTTATGGGCTCACTGTCTCATTTAATCAGCGCTCGGTGATGAGCAGTAGGCAGCCTATCCCTGTATTATGGATGAGAAAACTGAGACCCGTCCTGGGCCCAGCAACCCAGTGTGGACACTGAAGCAGAGGTGTCTACAATACAGAACAGAGAGAAAGCCAGGCATGAGAGTGCACACTTGTGGTCCCAGCACTTGGGAGGCTGAGGCAGGAGGATGGCCATGAGTTCAAGCCCAGCCTGGGCTACGTTACATAGTGAGTTCAAGGCCAGCCTGAACTACATAGTAAGACCTTGTCTCAAAAAACCAATGGGAAAAAACCAAACCAACAAACTAGAACACAGAGAAAGTCAGGCACATTGTCTCAAAAACAAGTCAAGTTAGGGCCAGGGATTTAGCTCAGTGGTTCTTCCACCTGCCCTGCAAGCGCAAGGACCAGAGTTTGATCCTTGGTACCAAAAAAAAAAAA